ACTTTTGACCAATAATAAACTTAGTCCCCTTTTAGGGCTTGCTCTAGGTTGACTGTTGTAATAATTTACCACATCTTTTAGGTATTGTACCATCATGGAGATTTATTTTTTTAAGCAGTGGTAACCTGTCAATCTTTCCAGCTTGGATGACAGAGAGGGTCACCTGCCAATCAACGAGCAGAAAATGATGGAGATGACTAACTCCTGAGACTTCCCCTTTTAGGATTTAATTACCTGGGCAAACCCGTATGAAGTAGCAGGATATAACCCCTCATCATTGCAGTGGAAAAAAAACCTGCTTTCCTATCATCTAGACTGAGTATTCACGGATAGACTCTGTGAAGAACGAGCCGGTGGGTTGTCATCGACACCTGCGACCCCCCCCCCATCATCGGCAACGGCTATGATTTCAACAACAAGCAGTGTCACCAACACCAGACACCCCTATATATATTAGCGTTGAATTCAGTTATCATTTATATTTTTCATTTTTCATTTTCTTTAAAGTAGGATTAATATTTCATATTTAAGTGTTTTATATTTTCTATATAATAAAGTGTTTGTGTTTGACTGTTATTATTTCTTTTTCTATTTAACTAAATTTCCTGAGGAGGAGCCAGCCTTGGTAATACTGTCTGAAGTTGTTACAGGGCTGAGTAAGCCTTCGCACTATCGCTATCACGTTCACTGCTAACATCTGGGTCTTGTACACGGCCAAATAGTTTCCTCTTTCGTCCTGGTACAGGTGAATGTGAACGTGAACAAGCCAGCCCACCACCAGAGGTGGAAGGTCGTGGGTCATCTGGTTTTCATCACTAATTACATCATCCTGGGCATTTTTTTTCGGTCACACTCACTTGAAAACCATGGAATTCACTGTCACTGACACTTTCATCGCTTGTAGAGCTATCACTTGGGAACAAAAGACCTCCAATGCGCCGAGGAGTGAGGTACTTCTACTACGAGGCATGGTGAAAAATGGACTACCAAGATGGTGTTTCCCGCTTGATTTGAAACCGCTAGAATTTATGCGTATAGATACGTCAGAAACAGTGGTGCGTAAGACGTATTTATATGGCGTAAACAGTCAAAGGGTTAACCCTTAAATGGTCCAAATGTATATATAACGTTTTTTCAACATCTGAAAGTATGTAAAAAAATGTAGATCTTCTTTTTTGTTCACATTTGAAAAAGTGTAAAAAAAGTTTTATCTACTTTTTTTTGTTTTATTATATTATTATCACACTGGCCGATTCCCACCAAGGCAGGGTGGCCCGAAAAAGAAAAACTTTCACCATCATTCACTCCATCACTGTCTTGCCAGAAGGGTGCTTTACACTACAGTTTTTAAACTGCAACATTAACACCCCTCCTTCAGAGTGCAGGCACTGTACTTTCCATCTCCAGGACTCAAGTCCGGCCTGCCGGTTTCCCTGAATCCCTTCATAAATGTTACCTTGCTCACACTCCAACAGCACGTCAAGTATTAAAAACCATTTGTCTCCATTCACTCCTATCAAACACGCTCAAGCATGTCCGTTGGAAGTCCAAGCCCCTCGCACACAGAACCTCCTTTACCCCTTCCCTCCAACCTTTCCTAGGCCGACCCCTACCCCGCCTTCCTTCCACTACAGACTGATACATTCTTGAAGTCATTCTGTTTCACTCCATTCTCTCTACATGTCTGAACCACCTCAGCAACCCTTCCTCAGCCCTCTGGACAACAGTTTTGGTAATCCTGCACCTCCTCCTACTTTTGTAGCACTTCGAATTTGAACGTCAATCTCTTTGGAACCGTTTAAGGGTTAATGGTGCAAAGGTGACATTAAAGCAATATCAAAGATCGTTGACACAAACCCACTACCATTATAGTATGCTCCATGATTAGCGACGAATTCGTTTACCGATGTGGTCTTAGGAACGGAACTCCAGCGTTAAGTGATGAAAGACTGTACGTATATTATTACATTGTCATATGGGGTCTAGAACAGATTAATTCTGTTTATATTATTCTTTATGGGAAAAATTGCTTTGATTGTTGTTGATTTTGGTTGTCAAATCAACATCTGGAATGAATGAAATTTAAAAAACCGGGGTTTCCCACTGTATATCAGTTTTTTGTTCAAAGTGCCAAAACTTCCAGCATCACTCACATAACTCTTTGAGCTGTGGTTACTATTTAAGAGACAAGATGGGCTGATGAAAAGATCAAAAATTGATTCATTAACACACGATCGAGTATAGTATGGGATGCTTGGCATGTGTGCTTGTTTGTATTAAGAGTTCTGCTAAATAAAACAAACCACTGGCCTCATCATAGGCTAATTGTGAGGCAGAAGGAAAAGATCCTATGGTGTGTTTTATTTTTCCCTTAAACTTGCACTGAAAATCACAACATGTTAATAATACTTAATCTTTCAGAAAAATGTTAAAAGAAATGTATTAAACTGATCGCATCTTAACTGAGGGCCCTCCCATAGTTGATACCTTAAACCTGTGCAGTGTTTCTTTCTCTTATCCTTACTTTAAAACTGTGCAGTGTTTTTTCACTCTCCTTAACTGTGTCCCAAAATTACCTTTGGGCATCTTCAGCAATAAAATTTTGATGAATAAGACATGTGTATTTCACAGGTGTTGTACATGTGTCTTATCATCAGCTTGTTAATGAATAATTTATTTCCTCTGTAAAATATGTTAGTTTGATGTGAGGTGCTGGTGTGCAGTGCTAGAATGCTGCTGTACAGTGCTAGAATATTGGTGTGCAGTGCTGAAGTGTTGGTGTGCAGTGCTAGAGTGCTGCTGTACAGTACTAGAGTGCTGGTGTGTAGTGTTAGAGTGCTGGTGTGCAGTGCCAGAGTGCTGCTGTGTAAGTTAATTTTAAGAGTTTACAGGTTAACAAATTAAATAATACCCCGTGTGTCACCTTCTGCCGTCTCTTAATTGACCGACTTATACACTCACTTTGATTGCTAGTTCCTAGAGAATTAAACCTAATTTTTTGTATGAAGCACCATCAAACCCGACCATAATATGTATGTGCACCCTTAAAACTGACCATAACGATATGTACGTGCACGCTTAAATCTGACTAGATGATATGTATGGTTTTTTTAATAACACATTGGCCGTTTCCCACCAAGGTAGGGTGTCCCAAAAAAAGAAAAACTTTCACCATCATTCACTCCATCACTGTCTTGCCAGAGATGCGCTTACACTTCCGTTATAAAACAGCAATATTAAGACCCCTCCTTCAGAGTGCAGGCACTGTACTTCTCATCTCTAGGACTCAAGTCCAGCCTGCCAGTTTCCCTGAATCCCTTCATAAATATTACCCTACTCACACTCCAACAGCATGTCAAGTCCTAAAAACCATTTGTCTCCATTTGCTCCTATCTAACATGCACACGCATGCTTGCTGGAAGTCCAAGTGGCTTGCACACGAAACCTCCTTTAAACCCCCCCCCTCTAACCTTTCTTAGGCCTACCTCTACCGTGCCTTCCTTCCACTACAGATTTATACACTCTTGAAGTCATTCTATTTTGTTCCATCTTCTTTACATGTCTGAACCACCTCAATAACCCCTCCTCAGCCCTCTTGATAATAGTTTTGGTAATCCTGCACCACCTCCTAGTCTCCAAACTACAAATTTCTCTGCATTATATTCACACCACAAAATTTCCCTCAGACATGACATCTCCACTGCCTCCAGCCTTCTCCTTGTTGCAACATTCACCACCCATGCTTTACACCCATATAAGAACATTGGTATAACTATACTCTTTTTGCTTCCATGGACAAAGTTCTTTGTCTCCGCAGACTCCTCGGTGCACCGCTCACCTTTTTTCCCTTCGTCATTTCTATGATTCACCTCATCTTTCATAGACCCATCTGTTGACACATCCACTCCTAAATGTCTGAATACGTTCGCCTCTTTCATACTCTTTCCAACCTGATATCCAATCCTTTGTTACTTAATTTTTTTGTTATCCTCATTACCTTACTCTTTCCTATACAGTGGACCCCCGGTTTACGATATTATTTCATTCCAGAAGTATGTTCAGGTGCCAGTACTGAACGAATTTGTTCCCATAAGGAATATTGTGAAGTAGATTAGTCCATTTCAGACCCCCAAACATACACGTACAAACGCACTTACATACACTTACATAATTGGCCGCATTGGGAGCTGATCGTAAAGCGGGGTCCACTGTATTCACTTTTGATTTTCTTCTTTTACATACCCTACCAAACTCATCCCCCAACCTCTGCAACTTCTTTTCAGAATCTCCCAGAAGCATAGTGTAATCAGCAAAGAGCAACTGTGACATCTTCCAGTTTGTGTTAAATTTTTTATCTTTTAACCCCAGGCCTCTTGCCAACACCTGAGCATTCACGTCTCTTACAACCCCATCTTTAAATATATTGAACAACCATGGTGACATCACACATCCTTGTCTAAGGCCTACTTTTACTGAGAAATAATCTCCCTCTCTTCTACATACTCTAATCTGAGCCTTACTATCCTCGTAAAAACTTTTCACTGCTTTCAGTAACCTATGTCATATTTCATGTATGTTCACCCTTAAATCTGACCATAATGATATGTACATGCACCCTTCAAACTGTATTTGTGTGTGCACTGGCAGTCAGCATCCGCTAATCATTGTGTGTTTGCAATTGTGATTTAATTATGTTAATCTGAAATATAATTATTCACAAAAAAATGGAAAGTAATTTTTATTAAACATTTTGATGTGGAAGGAAGTGAAAATGTTTTACAATGATCATTTTGTTTCCCAGGTGAGAAATTATTTAGAATGAAGTTTGTGTTCAGTATTGCAAATTATATTGGTAGAATATAGTATCAATGTAATATTTCCCTTTATTAAACAGCTTTTTACATTACTGTTTTTGGTTTGTATTCTTTGTAAAATGTAATTTAGTGTGTAATAATCACATGATTAAATGTTAATTTTTAACGTTCTTATGATTGAAACTTGATGGTTTGGTTTTTGGTACAGAACTGCGTCACCGACAGAGAGACCAACCGAGCGTCCTGAAGGTGTAGAAGCTCTGGAGGGCATGGCAACGGGTCTTTATAGTAAAGCCTTCAATGCTATTGTAGCACTCATCAATAGGTTAGTCAGTGTATATTCTTATGCTCTACAGTAGTAAATTCCTTTCTTTTTTAGATGTGGCCAGTTTGTGCACCCCGTATCCATAATACGGACAGTGGTGCCAGGGTACATGGATATACGAAAGGCCTAAGAACTAGACCCCAAAAGATTTAACAGGAGTTCATCTGGATACATAGCTGCATTTTATGTTTCATCTGTTATGTGTAAATTTACGATGTTTGCTTAATATGTCTGGTAACTTATTTTCCTTAATAAGATGCCTTGATATGTCACATAGGTTATTATACTGTCTGTCAATATATTCTTCATAAATTAGATACATAATCAAGTACATAGTGTTCAAGACAATAATCATAAGTCCAACCACATACTACTTTACATTTAGTTTGCTCATCATGTGTGTGTCTGTAAAGTAAAAGGACACAAGTGCAACTAATGTGACATTTTATTTTGGCAATGTTTCACTCTCCAGGAGCTTTGTCAAGCCATTACAAACAGTACATGGACACAGAGGGTATATATAGGCTTAGAGTGAGGTGCAGTACTAGTGGTAGTAATAGTAGTAGTGATGTAAGTTGTAGTAGTAATACAATATGGAAGAACAGTTAACTTGCACATGAGTAAAAGGATATAAAAGCTATTATGTACTTGGGTAACATAAAAATAGGTTAGACAAATATTTTTGTTGGAGGCTGGATTAGAGAAGGCCTGTTTCAAAGTTCATCCTCTGTAATGTGCTTGTGTAGTATTAGCAGGAGAGACTATGGGATGGCAGGGTTTACTGTTTTCAGGAGGATTCTTGCTAAGACTTCAGAGATGGTGAAGCTGCCTTTTTGTTTTGCTTAATTGTATTAGAAATGGTGATTAGTGATGATTCAAGGCACTTACGTCTGCAGAAATTAGTTTCTTTGATCACTAATTGGGCGTCCCTGAATTTCATGAGATGATTGGTGGAATTCCAGTGTTGTACGCAGGCGTTGTTCAAGTTATCGTTCCTACAGGCATAAATGTGTTCATTACAGGACTTGAACAACGCTTGCGTACAGCACCGGAATTCCACCAATCATCTCATGAAATTCAGGGATGCCCAATTAGTGATCAAAGAAACTAATTTCTGCAGACGCAAGTGCCTTGAATCATTACTAATTCTGTCATAATGGTTCAGCAGCTGTGACGGCATGATCGTCCTGCTCTAAAACCATGCTGGTTCTGGCTATGCTGGTTGTGCTGGTCCATGAAATTTGCAATCTGTCATCTCACCACTCTTTCAATGTTTTTTATGATGTGAGGAGTTAGGGCTACTGGTCTGTAATTTTTAGCTAGTGCTCTACTACCTCCCTTATGCAAAGGAGTTGTGTCTGCACTCTTTAAGATCTCTGGTATTTCACCTAGATCTAAGCTCTTTCTCCAAAGAATACTGAGGGCTCGTGCTAGTGGTACTTTGCACTTCTTTATAAATAGGGCATTCCATGAATCTGATCCAGGTGCTGAGCGAATGGGCATGTCGTCTATTTCTTTTTCAAAATCTATGGGATTTGTACAAATGTCAGTTAGCTGGTCTGTGCAGCCTTCTTCTGGAGTGAAAAATATTTCTGCATTTTCTACCTTGCTGTCATTTAGTGGGTTGCTGAACACCGACTCATACTGTTCTTTTAGGATTTCACTCATTTCCTGTTCATCGTCAGTATACGAATCTCCTCTCAGTAATGGTTCAATTCTACAGGTAGTTCTTAGCTTGGATTTTGCATAGGAATAGAAATATTTTGGGTTTCTTGCAATATCCTGTATGGCCCTTTGTTCCCTTTGTACGTCTTCTGTTAGGTATGACACCCTAAGTTTTTACTCTAATTCAGTGATCCCTCGGCAAAGACTATCTTTCCACTGTTGCAACATATTTTTGTTTTTAAGCAATTCAGTAACCCATTTTCTTCTTCTGTACCATCTCCTACACTCTCACTCTATATCTTATCTTTATCTGGGTTTCCTCAGTGGTACGTGCTTCATACATACCTTGTATGCTTCGGTTATTCAGCTTCTCTGGGCAGTGGTGGGGATTTAGGGTGCTCATGTTTGATTCCCAGGATATGTCTGATAGCCCTTGGTTTATTTTTTCCCAGTCAATTCTTTGGATGTTAAAATTAAACTTACTGAACATGCCGTCTTTAACATTAGTGATGCAGTTCCCTAATCCTGAGTAAATACTTGTTTGAACTTCTATGATGCTGTGATCAGAGCATATTGTTTTTTGTAACTGTTATGTCTCTGATTGGCTTCTCATTGTTTGTGAATGTCAAATCCAGGGTATTTTCATTTCTAGTGGGATCAATTATCTGTTGGTTCAATGAGTACTTTTCACAAAGCCTCATTAGTTTCCTGGTATGTGCCTGTTGAGCTAGAGTGCTTCCTGGAGATCTTTCTGGTATAACAGTTCATTGCACCATTTTACATAGAGAGAGATTAAAATCTCTGAGGAGTAAAATATTAGGTGTGGAATTTTCTAGTCTATCCTGATAGCTATCTGTCTTCCTGATGGCAGTTTTGTATACTAGGATAATTACCAAATTCCTATTTTCAACTTTAATGCCTTGGATTTGTACTATACCAGTATTACTACTACTACTGCTACTACTACCACTAGTATTACACCTCATTCTTAGCCAGTATATACCCTCTGTGGCCAGATATTGTTTGTAACGGTTTGGTGGTACAGCATTGGGCTTGCTCCATGTCAGGACCATAGTTCAAGTCGCTGCTTATTCTTTTCTTTATTCACTGACAGTCATTCTTTATGACTTTGAGTTCATGATTTCAGATGTATATCAACGTCAGCTCACACCAGCAGCTCCATCTTGGTGGTGGATGCTCCAGGTTTCCAGAACCCAGCGTCGTGTGGCAGAACCTCTGGGGCGACCTTCCAGGATCTCTGCCACAACTACACACAAGAGCGCTTCCAGATGCTCTTCCATGACACCACATTTACTGCCCAAACTGATAGATATGCTCAGGTAGGATTTGAAAAGTCATTATTTTGCTTTTATACTGTAATATGCAGTTTTTTTTTTTTAATAAAAAATCTTAATTCTGATTTAAAAAATTTCAATTCAAAAATTTAAAAGAAATTCTTAATATAAAATTAAAACTGGA